GGCTCAAGAGACACATTGGGGAGAGAGGTGTATTGGTATCATCTATATTGATTTCATCAAGTATAAAACATGGGACAAAAACAGGCAGGCTCAGTAGGGCCATAATTGTAAATAAAAGTGCCTGTTATTTTATTGATTCCTGTATTTACTTTTTTGTGTGTGGACTTGGACTAGGGAGAATCTTGATGGTATACTTGTTGAGATGACCGCAGATGATTTGGCTCAGAGCAATGTTTTAAAACTAAGACCCAAGCAGAAAAGCAACAATGGAGTAACAGCCCCCTCAATAAGATGAGGAAGGAGTTGTGGAAGGCAAAAAAAGACCCTTCCCCATTAGAGGAGTATTTTTCTGTGACCTCCATTTTATAGACACCCAAAGTAAAACCAGCAATAGATTTGGTGCCATGGCGGTTCATGGGGTGCCAAGGAGTTGATGCGTGCACAGTGCTGCAGGTAGTGGCTGGGCAGCAAATCAGAGGCCAAGCCCACCCTGCTTCCTGCCTGTTGCAACACAAGCTCCACCACAGACTAGCTGAGCCTTTAAACCACCAGCCTGCCTGTGCCACAGCACTTGTGTCACATTCGGGGGCTGGAGGCTCTCAGGTTAGTGGACAAGCAAGAGAGCAACAATACAAGAGTGATGTCCTCATCTGGCTTTGCCACCACAGCCATCCATGGCAGCCCACAATACTTGTGATACTCTGCAGTCAGTCTCCAGGCAGTGATGGATTAGAGGCCCATAGTACCCTCCTCTGGTAGCCTGCGGCACTTAAGACTGACAATGGCCTGGCTTAGAGAAGCACTGTCTTCCAAAGTTCTGTAACTTTTCATATTTCCTTTACCACAGGAATTCTTTATAACCTTCAAGGCCAAGGATCTGTTAAATGTGCTCACTGAACACTCAAAATTCAATTATGAAAACAAAATTGGGAATCTTCCCTTTCCTACCTGACAGGCCAAGGTTGGAGGGAAAAGAGACACACAGGTGGGAAAGCATCTGACAGGTGTTGTCTTGGAAACTTTGCTGCTGTTCATTCTCAAGGGTCTTTTGCTCAGAAAAGTGTCCCTGGGGTGAGATCAAAGCCCTCACCACTCTGATACCTTCCTAGGAATGGGTTCAAGTCAAGTGCTGAGGTTGTTTATCTGAGAGACCAATGTGGAGCTTGCTGAAAATCATAATTTTAAAATGGAATTTAGGAAGTAAGATGGATTTCCCCCTACAGATGGGGAACTGCTAGCCAATAGGTATGTTCAACCAAAGAGTAGCTACTTGTGATTGTATACACACACACATGTGCGCACACACACAACACATGGAAATGTGCATACCTTATTAGCACACTTTCTGCCCAGATGTGCACAGTGCTCTGTTTGGCTATAGCATTGAGTATATATGGAGATGGGAAATGTAGGCAAGACACAAAGCATGGAAAGAGAGCAGGAGATCCCGTACTATCGTAAAGGATTTACTGCATACCTTTTCCTCCATGACTAAAGTTCACATGTGCATCATTACATTTTAAATATACATTTACTGTAGTACATTTGACATACCATGAATTTCATGCAACAAAAGATACAAATCAGCATAATTTATAATAGCTAAATCTTAAAAATGGCCTATATGCCCATCAACACATGAATGGATAAAAGAAATGTGGTTTTATACACAATGAAGTACTATTCTGCCATAAAGATAAACTTGATGCAGAAGCTCAACTGCAGTTTCTGTTTTATGAGAAGCCTGAATTATAAAGAGCAAAGTAAAAGAGATAATAGGAAGCAGGGAGATCTTTTTCAGATAGGAAAGGGAATAAGAGATGGAGGAAGGAGGAGAAGGAGGGGAAGAAGATGGAAAGAAAGAATTAAAAGAGGAAAATAGGGGGTTGGGGATTTAGCTCAGTGGCATAAGTGCCTGTCTGGCAAGCGTGAGGTCATGAGTTTGATCCCAAGTACAAAAAAAAAAAAAAAAAAAAAAAAAAGACAAAAATGGAAATGGAGCTTTTGAAAATGGGAAGGAGACTAAGAGTTGGAAGGAGCAGTGAGGGATAAGAGGGCTAGGGGATGAGAAAAGAATGAAGATGTATTAGGTATATGTACCAACTTCCCACATAAATGTAATCTTTATGTACTGCAAACATTACAGTGTACTATGTACTAATAAAAAGGTACAAATGCAGGGACTTTCAGCATTTTTACATAGTTATGTACTCCAATTCTGTTTTAGAACTCTTCTATCATCTTAGATAGATCCTTTTTTCCTATATAACAGTCAATCTCTATCTCACTCCTGTCAGTGTGGAATTGCCGTTTCAAAGCCTTTCTTATAGATCCACTCACACAGTAAGTGGTCCTTTTTGTGTGGTTTTTGCCACTTAGCAAAATTTTTCAAGGTTTATGTATGAATATCTTGTCCCTCCACAAGGTTCAGTAATGTTCTATTATGTAGATACACGATCTTTCCTTTATTCCTTCACCAGTCTGTAAACATGTAATAGTTCTCACTTGAAGGCTCATGAATGATGTGCCTACAAATATCAGAACATCATGTTGTCTTAGTCTGTTTTCTATTACTCAAAACACAATGCCCTATAGTGGGTAAGACATATGGTAAACATATGGGAAGTTTATTTTGGTTCATGGTTCTGACATGAGGGTTACATGTGGTGATGATCATCTTGCTGACAGAGTCTTCGTGTGGATGAAGGTCTCAAACAGAAGGGAGACAAGGAGCTGAGCGTGATGAACCCTGACAAAACTGTTTTTCTATTTTTTTTACTTTGTTTGTGTCTTTTTTTGAGACATGGTTTGTTATACAGTTCAGGCTGATTTTGAGCTCACTTTGTAACCCAAGTAGGTCTTGAACTTGAAATGATCCTCCTGCCTCAGCCTCCCAAGTGCTGGGATTACACGTGAGCGCCACCATGCCCAGCTTAAACTGAATTTCATAGGAGTACAACTCTCCATATTAACCCACTGATTTATTAATCCATTCATGTATTAGAGAATGAATAGACTAAACCATTAAGGAGAGCACAGCACTAATCACCTCCTGAAGGTCCCTCTACTCCTACATCTTATGATCTCAAAATGAGAATTAACTTTCTACATGAATTTTGGAGAGAAAACCCTTAGTTTGTCTGTGAGTAGACATGTATTTTCCTATCTAAATTCTCCATATTTCCAGAATCTTTGTGCACAGTAGGATAGACATCCTGCTTTGTTTATGCTCTCACAGGAAAAACGTTCCTTATTTTACTGTGTGATAACACCAAGTCAGCTGTAAGCTTAAAGCTATAGATGCTCTTAACAGGTTAAGGACACTCCCTTCATCCTCCAGTTTGCTGAGACTTTTTGTCATGAGTGGGTCTTGGATTTTGTCAAATCTATTCATCCCTCTTTGTCCTTTGCCCTCCCACCATGTGAGGACATAGTAAGAAGATCCTCAAATGGTACCACATGACAGCATCTTCATCTTGGCCTTCCTTGCCTCAGAGACTGTAGAAGTAAACTTATTTTACTTGTAAATTGCCCATTGTGTACTGTTCTGACATACATAGCAGGAGGAAACACACTAAGAAAGTGTCCAATTTTTCCCCTCCCATAGAAGCTCAATATCAGAGGGCAAGGGAAAGCACTGCAATTCCTCATTTCCCTACCATAGTAGTTAGCATTTCAGAGAATTGGGGGAGGCCAAGTGAAAAAAGTAAAGCCTGTTGACTGGGTCAACACTTCGCTGCTATTGTTACTATGGAACTTTTGTGGCTGGCCTAGAACATGTGATTGTGTGTGTGGAAAGTCAGACAAAGGCTTGTGTCTTTAGCCAATACTTGATAACCTCTGTGAACTTCCAGCAATATGGGAATAATTACCCCTGCCCTATTTGATAGTGGTGAGGGTTCAACACTGCATCTCAGCAGACTTGGTCCTTTAAGGAATGAAATATCCACTAAGGTCACTAGGTCTCTGTATATCACCCCAGTTCTTATAGAAAGTAAACAGAGATGCCAGCTAAAATGCAGCCTGCCTCGGCTCATACTGTACTTCAGAGTTTTGCTGCTTGTGTGACCTAATGAGGTACTGGCACTGTTGCTAAATGATGGGTCTGTGGGAGAGGGTGAAATGAGTGAAACTACAGAGACTCAGAGAAGAGAGTCTAACACTGAGTAAACATCCCCAAAGTGCACTGCTATGGTATCCTTCTATACACTTCTAAATCACTGTTCTGATTTTAGGCCTCTGAGTGTAAAGAAACAAAAGCTGCTCTTTATACACCTGGTTCCCAGGACCTGACAGATATCCCTGGCAGAGTCATCTTAACTCTCATGCTCTTTGATGAGATCTCAAGATCTAATCTAAGAAACTTACCTGCTCTCAAGTCACTTCTACCAGAAGACATAGAATTTTATAGCAGTTCTGGAGCCTCCCTAAAAAGAGAGTGACATAATGCAGAATTTGTTTTTGTCTCAGAAGAACCTCAGGTTTCTGACTGGGTCAGTGCACATCACAGGACAAAAGATGGGGAAAAGAAGGTAAATTTAATCATTGTCTTCTTGAAATTAAAGGACACATCTAAATTCCAGTAGGATTTTGAAATAATCCAATACTACTATGGTTCTCAGGAAACAGGCACAAAACTTCAGCTCACATTCACTAACCAAGTATACCAGGCAACAAGGGAAGGCTCTTGGAAACCTCATCCAGGGAACCAGTGCCAATATTCGGAGGCTCCTTCTGGGACAGTGGCCTCTTTTGCACCCTTATGTACCAGAGGATTTTCTTCCAACCTCACTGCCTGGCTGGTGTAAATGCTGGTTCCACTGTGGCACCTCAAATAGTGGCTGGACTGTTCTGTGCCTGCCCCTTTGCCCTCTTCTGAATCTCCATGGTGCAGAGCTCCTCTGGATATACTCTGGTCTGCTGGTTGGGGATTTCAAGGTAGTGATCTGAGATTCAAAGAGAAACCATTATTGATAGACAAACCTACATTCTAGTGTTACTTTCCTTTCATATGTATGTTTATTTGGTATTAGCGATGAGGTGCCTAGGCAAAGTCTTGCACAGGAGAATATTGCCCGATTGCTAAGGAGCAGGGAAACACATACAGTCAGCTTATCACAGTCATAATACTTTACACTCACAGCACAATGCTGAAGCATCAAATTCTAATTCCACATCCCTTTCCCACACTTTGTTTGGCAGCAGATGTTTGCACCTGGATCTCAGAATCAAGCACTGCCATTTCAAGCAGACCCAGCTCTGTTCCTGGGTGGCGATCAGTAAAATGGTACAAAAGCACACGGACATCGATGAGGCATTCACACTACACAGACATCTTACATCTTCCTGACAAGTTAAGGAGCAAAGATGGAGATCCAGGCTGGGAAACTGACAACATGCAGCATGGGAACCAGATGAAAGGACGTGGGGAACACTGGTGTGCAGTCTCCTCTGCCCCCAAATGCCTCTCAGCGTTCCACAACTGACAGGCAGGAAAGATGAAGACACAGGTCTTGGGACTCCTTTTCTGAGAGCGACTGCTTGGTATCCGAAGAGTCCCAACCCCCAAAAGCTTGCAACATGGTGCGGTCTGAATCCCTAAGAGGCTTTGTCCCTGGAGAATGAGCATCTCAGTTCTCTTCCAACCACTGCTTGAGCAGCCTCTGGAACATGCTTTCCTGCTGCCTCTCCAGTTGGTGCTTTTCCTCTGGCTTCTGCTGCTGCACCCCATCTGGCTGAAGGCCAGGCTGGGTGGTGCCCAGGCTAAGGGTCAAGCCACTGAGACCCTGCACGAGGGTTTCCCAGGAGGAGGGATTGAGGGTCCCATTCTTCTCCCCAGTGACCCCAGAACTACTTGGCGTGTGGGCCTGGCAGTATCGACACTGACACCTGAATTGATTCTGAGCTCTACTGCCTGGGAAAGAGAGCCTGGTTTCCCTTTCGACTGGGTAAGGTGCCATGTGATCACGGTGCCTGCGTCCCAGGTGTCCCAGGAATGCTTTCTTCCTCTGAGGGAACCCCAGCCTTTCCCAGTGCTGCTCCGGCAGAGTCTTCTCTTCCTTGTACTGTGGCTGGAAAAGTCCCTGTCTCAGAGGTGCAGAAAGGTTGGAGCCAGGACTGATGCTCAGACTACTGAGGTCTATCATTAGCTGTCCTGTGGAGGAAGACTGAGAGGCGGTCGTGCCCTCCTGGGATGTCTCTGCAGTGGCCATCTTGGAAGATCCAGAAATCAACCCTGGATTCCATTTCTGGAGTGGATCCATGGAGGTCTTGCCTGAGCCAGAAGCTCTGCGAGGCCCTGGAGCCTAGATGGGAAGGTGAAGCTGGTGGTTTTCAGATAACTAGTCTGGAGGTAGGAAAATGCATGGCCAGAAGATGCCAGACTGCAACCAAGGGTGAAAAGAGAAGAAGGAAAACCCATGACCATTCATCTTATTATATCTTTCTGTACTTCCACTTCCTAGGTATAAAATGCAACTGAACACATGATCTACCTCATGGGCTACTTCCAGAGAGCTGATGGAACATCACAAAGGTCGTAGAAATACCGCCTATCATTGCAACCAGGTGGGATTATCAGTGATGAAATGTCATGGACAATATTAATTCCTTGCCTTTTTTTCTCATAGGTAGCAGTCTTGGGGGCTCTATCGCCGAGTTACATCCCCAGCTCTTTATTTATTTATAAGTTATGAGACAGCGTCCCTAATAATATTAGGCCCAACCTAGGACCAAATTCTTGATCCTCCTGCCTCCACCTCCTGAGTGCTGGGATTACAGACATATGCCACCATATCCAGCCCTTGCTGAGTGAGTTTTTCTGAGTCATTCCCAAGACGAATTGTCAAGGATGAATAATGGGTGACTAACCCATGGTTTTCTGATAAGCATTTATATACTTTCATGAAGTAGACTTTTATTAAGTTGGAAGTATTTGTACTAGTTATGTATTTTTTAATTTTTGTTTTCTGATTGTTGGCTTTACATTTAGTCCAAAGGGTATTCCTGTATATGAGAATCATCTCAAAATTTTCAACGTATATAAATAAGAATTTTCCTATTAAAAGGTAAGAGACAAAATGAAGAGCTAGCAAACAAAAACCAGAAGAGTAAGAAACTGAATGAAACCAAATAGTGCTTCTTTAAAATAATAAATTTAATTGATAACCTTGTTTCAGGAAAAAAGAGAAGAAATAAACAAGTTACCAATAGCAGGAGCAAAAAGAGAGATTTCACTACAAACTCAGAAAACAACAAAGGGACAACATAGGTATACTGAAACAGGGTACACATAAATTATAGTTTGTATCATATGGACCAATTACTGAGAAATCATAAACTACCAAAATTGACCAGAAATGAAATTTTGTGCATAGCCCTACATCTTTAAATAGAAATTAAATTTGTAAAATTTAAAATGTTTGCAAAATGATCTCTAGGCCCAGAGAATTTTACTGGCGAATTCTACCAAACCTGAAATGAAGACATCAATTTTAGACAATTTCTTCTAGAAAACGCAGCAGAAGGTGCACTCCCAAATATGTGATGAGGCCAGCATTGCACTGACACCTGGAAACAACAGGCTGATATTTGCCTTAGCAAATGCACAAAATTCTTCAACAGAAAACAAGCATATATGAAAAGAATCATAATCCATGATCAAGTGGATTTTATAGTAGGAATGCAAAGGTGGTTCTTTTACTAATTAAAAATTAGTCAATGTAATCTACAAAGTGTGAGTTAAGATGAAGAAGAAAAATGACAGAATCATATCAAGGTATGAGAAAAAACATTTGACAAGATGGAAAATCCACTAATGATATTAAAATTTTAATACACTAGATATAAAAGATCACTTCCTGTACCTGTTAAAGGGCATAAATGAAAAACTGTAAAACTAATGTTCTACATAATGGTCAATGATTGAACACTTTCTTTATAATGCTGAAATAAAAACCTCCAGACTCGCCCAGTTTTAACACATCTATTCAGTTTCATGCTGGAAGTCCTAGATGGTGGGACAATGCCAGAATAGTCACCACTGCTATACAGATTCAATGAGTCTCAATCAAATGAGAAAGGAGAAATAATATGCTGTCTCTTCTCATAGATCTCACGACTGTGTACCTGGAATACCCAAGTATGAGGTATGATTAACAAATATGGTACATGATTAAATTAAAAATAAATTGTTACATATACATTGCCATTAAACCTCCTGAAAATACTCTCCTTTACTTCTAACATACTTATCCCATCATTCTCTCCACTTTCTGAACCAGTTTGGTAAGTCTTCTGTTATATCTTTAGTTCCATTGTCATGGTTACCTTGATATCCTGAGTTAATTCAGAAGGCTTACATTTCATGGTCATTTTTACATTGGGGAAGAGCCAGAAGTCACATGGTACCAGATCCAGTGAATAAGGTGAATGAGGACATACTGTAATGTTTTTCTACAAGGCTGCCTTACCATTGGATAGAATATAGCATTCAGCATATATTTTTAAAATCATAACTTGCAAAGACACAAGAAAAGACTTCCAGAACTCTTTCAGAAAATGATAAAAATAATGGGATAAATGTATAAGAATGAGGGGGAGTACTTTGAGGGAGTTTTACGATTATGCGTATTTTACTTTAATGATTTTTTTGTCTTTTTGAGACAGTGTCTCAGTATGCAGTTCAGGCTGGTCTTGAGCTCACTTTGTAGCCCACGCTGATCTTGAATTTGCAATGATCCTCCTGCCTCAGCCTCCTGAGTGCTGGGGTTACAGGTGTACACCACCACACCCAGCCTGTAACAATTTTTTTAAAACAATTTTTTAAAAAGTTAAACATTCACTGTGTATGCTGATCACAACTCATATCTCCTCTAAACCTCTTGGAACTAATGGGTGAGTTTAACAATATAGGATACAAAACAAACAAAAGTAAAACAACCATATAAGTATGAGAAATGTACATTTTAAAACAATACTGACTAATAGCTTCAAACTCAGTGAAATAGTTACATACAAAACTAACAAAATACATACAGGATCTATCTATGAACTCTATAAAATACTTGATAAAAAAGGAATAATTAATACAAACACTGTGTTTATGGATCAGGAAACTCAATATGGAAATAGGTCAATTATCCCTACAGAATTAAAGAGATGCCAACCAAAATCTTAGAAGGAAAAATGTATACACATGTAGGCTGATTCTACAATTCATATGGAACTTCCAAACTGCTGAAATAAGAATGAATTGGAGAATTCACATCATTCAGTTTCAAAACTTGCCACAAAGTTGCAAAAATTAGCAATGTTGCTGGAATCAATACTGTGAAAATGGCCACACTCCTAAAAATGTCATACATATTCAATACAGTCTCAGTCAAAATACCAACAGAATACTTCGCAAACGAGAGAAAACAATCCTAAAATTCACATGGAACCAGAAGAGACTCAGAATAGCACAAGCAATCTTGGGCAACAAGAGGAAAACAGGAGGCAACACATTACCTGATCTCAAGCTATGTTACAAAGCTACTGTAATACAAACACCATGGTACTGGAACAAAAAGAGACATGTGGATCAATTGAGCAGAACAGATGATACAGAAACATTCCCCAGACACATTCAGCTACTTGATCTTTGACAAAGGGACCAAAAGCAGACATTGGAAGAAAGACACCTATTCAACAAATGGGGCAAGGAAAACTAGGTATCTCTCTGCAGAAGATTAAAACTGGATTCATATTTCTTACCATGTAAACAAAATAAAATAAAATAGATCAACAATATGAACACTAAAATAGATTAAAATATTGAACCTACTGGAAGATAAGATAGGTAAAATACTTAAAGCCATAAATGTAGGAAAGTATTTCATAAGCAAAACCACAACTGAACAACAAATTAACAGCAAGAATCAACAAATGGGATTAAATCACATTAAAATCTTCTGCACAGCAAAGGAATCAATTAGTAGAGTGAAGAGACAACCTACAGAATGGGAAAAAATTTGTCAGCTATTCCTCAGACAGAAGTTTAATGTCCAGATTATGTGAAGAACTCAAAAAATTAGGACCACCTAATGTAAAAGACCTAATCAAGAAATGAGCAAGTGAAATAGAGACATGTCTCAGGGGAAAACTGCAAATGGCCAGCAAACTTAAGAAAAAATTTTCAACATTCCTGACTACTAGAGAAATACAAATTAAAACAATGCTAAGATTCCATCTTATACCAGAAAGAATGACAATCATCAAGAAATCAAAAAATAACAAATCCTGGCATAGCTGCAATGAAAAAGGAACTCTCTAAGCTTGTTGATAGTAACATAAGCTGATAATTATGGAAATTCCTCAAAGAAATAAAATTAGGAATTCCATGACTCAGCTATCCCACTTCTAGGTTTCTTCCCCAAAGAGCTAAAGACATCATTTTAAAACAATACTAATAGCTTCAAACTCAGTGAAATAGTTACATACAAAACTAACAAAATACATACAGGATCTATCTATGAACACTATAAAATACTCAACAAAGAAATAAAAAAGGCATAATTAATAGATTGTTTATGTGATATACATACCGATGTTTATAGCAGCCCAGTTCAAAATACCTAAATCCTGGAAGCAGCCTGTATACACATCAACAGACAATTGGATAAAAAAATGTGGCATTCATACACAATGGATCACTTATCAGCTATAAAGCAGGATAAATGTGAAATATCTGTAGGAAAATGGATGCAGCTGCAAAATATATTGAGTGAAGTAAATCATACATACACATACCAGGAGTGACAGCATATGCCTAGAATCCCAGCACATGGGAGGCTGAGGCAGGAGGATTGCCATGAGTTCAAGGACAGCTTGAACTACATTGCAAGACCTTGTCTCAAAAAAATCATACACAAGCTTGAATAACATATGGTATCTCTCATTTGAGTAAGGCAAAGTATATACAAAGAGCACAATAAAGGATAGATAACAAGAGCCAAAGGTATAGATCCCTTGCAAATGGGAAAGGGTCCAAGACAGAACAGGTGAGACAAAAGGGAGGGTAAGGGGAAATAAATAGAATAAAGATATGTCATATACAGGAACCTAATAACCTCAGTTAATATAAATATTACATGTAATAAACATGAAATCAGATTAATAATATCAGCAAGAACCAAAATGGGGAAAGGTATTTAGAGGAGGAGGGATGGAGGTGGGGGAGAAAAGGAGGGTATTAAAAAATTAAGAACCAAGCTGTATTATGTACATGTATCCATTCCACAAGATGATTGTAAATTGCATATACTGCAAACATGTACTGATAAAGAAAAAATTTAAAAAGTGTTGTTATCTGGGCAAAGAGTAGACATGTAGACTGCTATCA